AATTAATACATTACGCCACAAAGATGAAAGGAGTAGCAATTTTTCGACCAACTCCCCAATTCACTGTTTGTAAAGCTCTAACCATAAAAAGGTTAGGTGACCTGTGGCAATTTAAGCAGCGAGAATCTCCTATACTTAGCAGGTTAGGCACAATCAGTATTGGACTTGCATATAAACTGAATTTAAAGATATTTTTACGTATTGGAATAGCTCACCTATAGGCATGATTTCGTCGCGACGAATGCTAGAATCTACATGTCCTTCCCACTTTTAACCGTTTTCAAAAAATCTCATTAGCAGCTAATTAGGTCACAAGAGAGGTGAAGTATAGTAATTTGTAATAACAATTAAGTAAGCTGTCAAATCCAGATTTTTCAGTTTTGTACTAAACATACGCATTAGAACATATTTGAAAACGGACATCAAACCAAAAAAATGTTTAGGACTGAGGAATTAGGGTTGAAAGTGTATTTTGTACAATATCCTTATCCGGTCTGTACCATTTCCTAACTTACAGTTATTGACTGCATTCAGAAGTGAGTTAGCGAGAGGGATGTGACGGAAGTAGTTGGTCATGGCTCGAATGCAGCGTTATGAACAAATAAATTGACGAGTTTGCGGATACTCACCACTCATGCTGAAGGTGACAGGTTGGGAAGCTTCAATTCGCCTCTCAATCTCCACTTTTGCGCCGCTCAGTCTCTTATATAGCGCAGATAATCGTTTCCTATTGCAGTAACGTATGCCAAGGGGAAATTCCGGAAGGTGAACACTCAATCATACCTACGATTAGCGATTAGTATAATGTATACAAGCACATTGAAACAAGTACATGTACTATTTTGGCAGTGCAGATAATTGAGGGCTACTTTGAGGTTTAACACTATAAATTGGTTTCCACAACATTTTCTAAGATATGGTCGATTACGAAAAGAATTTGGCTACGGTAACCCTATAAAATACAGCTTAGTCGAATACGGCGACAAAGAACTGTGGAAAAGAAGATGGGCTATAAACACTCTGCACATTATTATATTTACTTTATTAAATAGATAAACCTATACTCTTACAATAAGTCCCGTGCCTTACAATTTTTAGCATCACACTCATCAATACTACATGAGCAATGGCCGTACATGGAGGACTATACTTCTGGATATCTATCACAGACTTCCGCTGCGGTTAGCTTGACGGATAATTTCCTAGGAAGAAAAAAAAGTTCCGCAAGAATTTGGGAAC